GCGCAAGCAGATTGTCCTGATGAACTATTTTAGTGCAATTATGTCCCACAAAAATCAAGCATTTCTTTTATCGTTAGAAAAGCACAACTGTTAAAAACCAAGTTGTCTAAACCAAAGTGATCCTGTGCCTGTCACATGGACCCAAAGTTGCAGCCACAACAGTAGCAGCCCTGTAGCTCTGCTTGAAAGTGCCACAGTTTTGTATTTCCCCATTTCCGTTTAATCATCTCTACAAGAGCAACTTTAAACTTCCTCAGGGTGTCATTTGCAGCAGTGCCTCAAAGCTTCCTGTTCGAAAAGCTGATGAAAACTCTCATCTCCTAGGCACCCAAAGTTTAGATTAATACTTTCCTGTGTGCATGGGAATATATTACTTCCCACAAATGTAAAAAGGATGGCTATCAAATATCTCAGAAGCTTTTCAGATACAACTCAGATAAACAGAGAAGAGAGATAGGGGGGAATATGGTTTTATAGCTTTCAAAACCATCAGCCAAAGCTTTATAAGCATCTTTATTAACCATTCGCTCTTTCAAAAACAAAATAGAGGCTCTGAAAAAGCAGTTGAAAACTGTCAGTATCAAAACTACCARATTGTTTGATGGTTCTGTGGAAGGAAGAAGAAAAAGCAAAATATGCTTACRATTTTACACATGGATCTAAAAAGGAGGAAAAAAAAAGTAACACTTCAGCTCCCACTCAAGATCCCCAAGTGTTCACAGCTTTGCTTTTCAACATATTCCRTGCAGCCTCACCCTCTAGCACAAGTCCCATCCTCAGCTCCTCTAGGATTAAAGATATTTATGCTACTAAGAGCTCCCGCTCYACTATCCTTTTTATACAGCCAARAAGAGAAAAAAAGCWGCTTTGCTCTTGGGCTTCCATTAAYGAAGGATTCCACAAAACTACYTTCAGAGGGAGAACTAGGTGTAGTRCCACACTAAAGCTACACACAGAAAGTGTAGGAATTCACATTACAGTCTGCACATACACAACAATTAGACTGAGAGTCACCGAATCTGAGACTGGTTTGGGTTGGAAGGGACTGTAAAGACCATGTTGTTCCAATCGTCTGCCATGGGCAGGGACACCTTCCACTACACCAGGCTGCTCCAAGCCCCATCCAGCCTGATTTTGAACACTTCCAGGGACGGGGAATCCACAGTTTCTATGGACAACCTGTGCCAGTGCCTCACTATTCAAACAATTTATTCGTAATATCTGATCTAAACCTGCCCTCCTTCAGTTTAAGGCCATTCGCTCTTGTCCTATTACTCCATGCACTCGTAAAAAATCCCTCCCCAGCTCTCCTGTAGCCCCCTTTAGGTGCTGCAAGGGGCTCTAAGGTCTCCCCAGAGCTGAGCAGCCCCAGTCTCTCAGCCTGTCTTCAATAGGGGAGGTGTTCCAGCCCTAGAATCAAAACTCAAAATGGAATCAAAAGAAAGTTTCAGTTCTCCTACTTCAGAGACAGCTAACTTACAGTCTTTGCTAAATCCTCAATAATTCCAACTACTGTTATCACTTTCTTATCATGAAGGAGCCTAATCCAGATGGATTTTCCTCAGATCCTTTTATCTGCCAAAAACTCTCTGCRCCACCACAGAGTGATATTCCCACAGCAGATTTCACCACTGCTGCCTCAGTTCTACATCACATTTGATAGCCAGATGTGGAACAACTTAAAAGACAAAAACTTCGTTTCATAACTTGAAACAAAGACAGATTTATTTTTTTTCAAAACTGCTAAACAGCTTGATTATTTCTCATGCCAGCAGTTATTTTTCTYCTGCTGTCAATCTCTTTCAGAGAAGTTACTGCTCATTCCCTCAGCAAGTAAATTACAATGGATTATAAACTCCAGGTTACAACATGTTCTGGCCCAACACTGGATGCCATTAGATTTTGTGGCCCATCTTGCCTTACACAAGACTACATTCTATTTTGTTAAATGCTGTTTAAAAAAAACAACAAAAAAAACCCCTTCGGTATTTATTAACTTCTATACTTGAAGAAAGGCCTTGGAAGGAGAAATGCTGATTAGTCATCATAAACTCTGCTTTTCCTAGTTTGCAGATAAGTAATATTTTTTTTTTAATGGAAGTGTTATTACTCTTATTATTTTAATACTTAAAATGCACAATGAAGAAAAGCCCATAGTATATTCAGATTGACCAGTCTAACCTGCCATCAGAGTCACTTTTGAATTGTAAGAAAAATACTGTGTTTTGTTCCTGAATTTGTCATAATCAGCAGTGAGGATTATTACAGCATAACCACCTTCCTGTCATTCTATATCTTATTTTATCATTGCTATCTACTCCAGTAGTATATAAAACAGTAACCTTTACCCAAGGTCAGTGAGGACAAAAGGCAGAGCACAGGATGATTTGTGACTCCACTCCTTACTACCAAGGTTCACAAGGAGTATCAGGAGATTCCAGGGGAACATGAAGCCTGAGTCATTTCAGAAAGGCTTTCCATAGGTAAAGGGGCATGGCTGTACAAATTACAGAATCAGAGGTCTCAGTGCACTGTGAAATCTCAATCCAAAGGCAATAAATGCATGATGTAGCTCTACTGGAAGCAAAACTCTCATTGCAAACTCTGCTAATGACACTGCACTGTTTCGCTGACAAATGAGGCTATAAAATGCTTAATTTACTTCAGCCCTTTAAGCAGCAATTCAGGGGGAAAAAATACCCAAAACAACCTCAAGACGCCTTTAAAAAAATCACCTCAATTATTCAACATGATGTTAATCGTATGCTCCACAAACATGATGGTTGTCCAGMCAAAAACACCAGAATTATTAACAATGGCTGACATGACTTTGTCCAAAGTCAGTGTTAAAACTGGTAAAGAGATGAAGGGTAATCCTGACATGTTTGCTTTGTGATCACTACATAGTGTAACAGCTGCGTGYTGTAAAGAAAAATATCACCTGTATTTGTAAATATTTGTCTTTCARTGCCAGTAAAATGACAAACTGATGGGTAACAAAATGCCTTCACCACAATTTTCAGATTGCCTCAATTGCTCTAACATAATATAAAAGTGACATTGTTGAACTATTCCAGACAAAACCAACACTGGTATTGTAATCACAGTGTCCTCACCCAGCTTAGTTTCAGAACAACTCCTTCTTATCAGAGAAGATATTAATATGTTCATTACACCAAAATCATATGGCTTCCAGAATGTGCTGTCAGGAAACTGCCACGAAGGAAGAAGTAGAAACAAATTTTTCATTTCTATTTGGGCACCTCTGGTCTGGGTAATTGCCACTGATTGCTTCAAATGGATGAGGAGCAGGCACTTAGCACAGTGATTAGCTTCAAGGTCTCCCCTAACCCTTGGTACTCTTCAGCCCAGAGAACCTGAGCAGTGCCATTATCCAGGGCCATGAGAATGAGACATTGATCGAACCTTGAGAAACTGTTACCTAAAGGATTTTCCTGTTGCTGCTGTTTAATGGTTGCTTCAGACATTTTAAACTCAGTGTACCAAGAGTCAAGGGTAAACCTAATTGTGTTCTTTGCTACAGAGCAAGCCTCAGGCAGACAAAGCTATGCAAACATTGCAAACTCAAAACTCTTACCAGGCTCCTTGAGTGTTGCTCCTGAATACCAAAATTGTGAATCTAACTCACTCCAAGAATAACAAACAACAYTCAAATCACCCTAAGAACTGATGAAAGATGTTTCCTATTCAGGTAAGAACAATGAACCTTCGCCTATAAATCTGAAAGCAACAACATGTGGATGCGTGCTCCAAGTATCTGTAAATCTAAGGAAATAACAGCATCAAGTCTCTTTTGTCCAGCTACAAAAAGAAAATATACAGGGATGTTTTTTATTTTATATATGGCCCAGAAACTCCAACAATGCTGTTCTCGCTCACTTTCCATCTCAGTGGAAGTTTTTTCAACCAAGATCTTGTKCTGGTTGCCTTGTGTCAGGAGCATGGCTCACCCTGTGAGCACCCTGCAAGCACTGCACCTCTTCAGGTACTTGTTACTGACCTGCCTTCAGTTTAACCAAGAGAGATGGGGGGAGGGAAAGGTCTGTCTGACYAAGAGATAACATGATTTTAGCACCTTGGTACAGATAAATGAGCTAGGACTGAGCAGCTGAAAGCAACTCTGCTGCCATGCTGTCATCAGGCAATCACTTGCAAATCTACTTTCCTAGACTTGTTCCAGCAGCATTTCCCTACCAAAGGTAGCATTTACTTCTCTATTTTGACCAATTTAAGCAAGCAACACATTCTCAATGGAAGTATTTGTTTTTTCAGGAAACTCAAGGGCAGACAACACATAGGAGCATTATCAAACTATTCACCAAGTTGCCTTAACTCTTCTGCTCTGTTCTCTTTTTGGAACTGCAAAGATCATGAGACTCAGACCTTCCTATGAGTCAGGACTGTTTTGACTTGGTGGCAGAACAAAGCAGCCTATTCACTGAAGACAAAATTAATGACTTCAAATGTCATCTCAAAACATGTTTTTGTTTTAACTGAAGGTAGTAGGTAGGTGATCTCTCTGTATCAAATCCTAAGAGCTGTYAACATTGTAGGGAAAGGAATTTTTAAATCATGACCAGTAACAAATATAACAAATACTTTCTTTCAGTTAATAACCAATGAAGTGTATATAGTGGTATGGCAGAGCAGATTGATACCAACCCAAATAATCAGGCTYAGAGTGGAAACACCTCCCCAGTTTCATCATTCTAAAGTGAAACCATTTAAAGCATGAAACAACTACTAAAACCAGGTAGATTATTCACTTTAGCGGAGAATTTCATTTTCTTTGAGTTACCACAGAAGAAAGATCTTTCTCTGAGCTTGGACTTCAGACTGTTATTGATAAAGGCTAGACTTTGAAGTTTGTTATCCAAGATATTTCAGATATCTAACACTGACAAATCATGTGACGTTCAAGAGAGAAAAAGTACAGATTAAAACAGCCCATAAATAATTTCACTAATTGTCATACACACCTGCTACATTAAGCTTTTCAGCTGCTCCTAAGCTGGGAGCAGAGGTGGTAGTATTGTTGGTCGAGTTTGCTCCTGTTCCATTAAGTACAAGATTTTCCACCTTGGAYTCCAACTTCCCAATGCGCTGCAAGATATTATCCAGCAGGACAGCAAGTGTCTTCTTCAAATCTGCAAATGAGAAGTTAAACTGCTTAATAATGCAACACACACTTGTCAGACAGAATCAAAAAATAGGTACAAGAATGAGACTGGAGAGATATAGATAAGAGAGAGAGAGACTTTCTCAGTGCAAATCTTTTCCATTACCAGCTCTATGCRCTCATGTTCCCTACTTTGCTCAGCCTCAGATACAAGTTTCTCTAGACATGGARCTTGTCATCCTGTCTATTTTACAAAGCACAATGCAACTCATATAAAGTGTATCTACATTCAAGGTGAAATGTGAGCCTTTATGGGAACAGAAAAATGCTTGCTTTGCAATGGCTCAAGTAATAAGAAGCTGCTTAAAGAATAATGAGTCTAAACCTAAATCCATATTCAAGCATTATCAAAGGAACAGTCTGTTAGATGCTCAGTCACCTGGGAACAAAAATCCCCTTCCCAAAAGGGACAGCTTTGAGCCAGTACAAAAACATTCTCCTGCATCTCCTCCCCATAACCAGCTTCTGTGCGGGCAAATAAAAAAAAAAGTAATAATTTTTCTGTCATGTTCACAAAACACCAAAATTCATGTTTCTTTTCTTCAGCCTGTTGGTGATTGTCTCTATTTGGTCTGACATAGCACTTCCTTGGCATGAAAAGCAATGAACAATGACATGAATTTGCATATCAAATGACAACACGGAAGGAGTTTTATGATTTTTTTTTCTCTGGCTTTTATTTTGTTCAGACTCCTTGAAGGAACACAGTTTGGCAAGCTAAAAGAACTGTGGACAAGAGGAGAAAACTAGACCACTACCACACTAAACTGTAATTATAAAGGCAACAAGCCAAAGAASATGAAATTATTGCCCTTCATTTGTTTACCCTTGTAAAGATTAAAGAATCTGGCAAAAGGAATTTACATTATTTTTCCTTTTATTTACATAAAATAATTGTATGTGTWTTGGTATAATATATCTTCTGTTTCACACAACCTTAGAATCAAATAACTTTCTGAKGTGTAATAGAAAACTTCTCCACACATCTGAAGAGATTCCACASTCTCTACATCAGTTGTGTTTCTGCCATTTGCATTCTGTGCTTTTCAAAAAATTTTTCCCATGACTATCTCAATTCTTGTGCAAATGAGAGACTAAATAAGAAAATGCTCTCACTTTAGAAAGCTTATATTTCTTTTCTCCAAACATAAGGAGAGTTTTATTTATTCCATGGTGCCATAAAGAAGGCCTTTCTCATTGTAACTGTGTTTTCCTTTGAGCTGTAAAGACCAGAAGGTGGAATCTAAAGCACCAGTCCACACATCTGGAGTATTTTAAAGGGTGTCTAGAAATCATTTAATGGTACAATGTGCAGAAGAAAAGGAAACTCTGGACTTGACATGAATGAAACCACAATACAGAAGGATGAAAAAATGTAGGAAATGTAGTAAAATAATTCAGGAAACAGCAAGGAAGAAATGCAGAATACATAAAGGCACACACAGATCATAAGCACTAAAAATGGTTCAAATTTCTTGTTTTTTAATTCTGATAGCAAAACACTGATAAGGAGAGACAGCTTGTCAGAACAAAAAGGCAAGTGGAGGCTGGTTTGAGAAGGGGGGGCAGAAACACTGACTCACAGAAYTTTTGTAAAACAACTGTTTTACTGCTATATTCACTGTGTATATCTGAACTATAACTTTTAAAAGGAAAATGTTTGATCCACCTACCTGACAGGTGAATACATGGTAGAAAGAAAAAGTGAGAAAGTAAACAAGCTGTGTGACCACAATCAAGGAACGACTTTTGGGTGGGTAAAAGCAGCCAAATCAAGCAAACATTAAATTTATTCTTGGACACGGAAATCATGATTGTGCCCACTTAAAGCAATCAGAGAATAAGATTAAGGAAAATAAAAAGGCTAAATAAGCAAGAGCGTTAAGTTTCACAGAATAGTGAAGAAACCTCTACCAATTATTATTAATATCAGTCATTAATSTGTTTGTTTCTTAAGAGCTAATCTCATTATTTGCTAGCAACAAGTCATTTGGAATGCCAAACAGGACAAATTAACTTATTTATTCAATAATTACCTTACCCAATTTGATAAAGTATTATTTAATATGGTGTTATTCAGTCACTGTAGTGCTTTTGCCTGTAATATTTTACATAACTACCATTATTTTGCATCTTTCCATACTACTTTGTTGAAAACACCTGGCCAAACTTAAATTTTAAGTCTTTAATCTTAATAACCTCCTCAGCCATGGAGTTGAAATTTCTACACAAACCTTAGCTTTCCCTTCACAGAAGTGTTACAAAGTTACTTCACCCACTTCTAAATGCAGTTTAACTTCTCCTCGGGAACTTGACCAGCGTTTGGAGGCAAGTCAGCCTCTTCCTCAGCAGGATTTGGAACAGGAAATTAATGCCACAGGCAACAAGCTGCAGGGGAATTTACCTTATGGATATCCTGTGCCCTCAGACCTCACTCAGGCACATATTAATGACTTCAAAACCTGAAGCCRGATTGTTTGGCATTTGTTGTCCATTTTCTTCTTCAATTCACCTACCGCCGAGCACCTGCCCAGTAACAGGACAGCGGTGATGGCTACACAGCAGATTAAGTTYTGTTTTATGCCTAATCACAGAATCCTCTAGGGATCTCTACTTGCTCAGGAGATCCTCAACCCAAATATTGATCGAGTACCACTCGATTTTGCTTGTGTTGTTTTGTAAGGCTACAGTTCCAGCATAGTTCAACATGCAGCCACAAATCAGGAGTTACAGAATGAGGGCAGGTTATTATTTAAGCAGTGCAGCAATAGATTTGTTAGCTATGCTGGGGATAATAATCTSAGGTTTACAGGAAAGCAAAAGCACACAAACTCAAAGATTTGCTTTTCAGAGGAAAAAGGAGCTGTGACAGAAACAAGACACAGAGAGGATCTTCAAGCATATTTGCACTGCATGCACCAAAAAGTAAAGAGTTTTAAGAGAAAACTAGAGACAAAGGTGCAGCTATTATATCTATCTGTGCATCCCAGTCTATATTCTTTGCCTAAGCACACAAAAACTATCAAATCTATTTCTTCAGCGCTGAATATTAAGACAACTATAAAAGAAAACATTTATTTAGATGACTAATTAGTTTTCCAAACAGCCTGAAAGTGCATAGGTACATAGGAAAGAAAGCGAGTCTAAAAAATGCTAAACGCGTAAGGTGTATTATGTGATCTTTACAGAYCGAAAAGGAACCACACCCAACCTGAAATTTGATGATATTTTTAATTCAGTAATGTTTTCTGGTAGTATACTTCKCTCTTTTCTGCTCGTTTTGTCTGACACGTGCACAAAAACTTATCTCCCATATACAAACTGGAAAAGAGTAGGCATTGAAACCTACTGCCAAATGAGGTGCTGAAACTCAAGAGTTTTCTGCCCTGAGGCAAATAGGATATACTTAAGCTTAATTTAGGATTATGCCAGATAAATAAACTTAAACTTTAAGTAAATTGAGTGAACAAAGAAGTGAAATGGGACAGAAGAAGAAATAAATATAGCTGGCCTTCATTTTATAACTACAGCAAGTTTTTCTACAAGAAATTTCTCAAATCACTGAAACGAAAACTGAAAAGCCTSCAAAGTTTCTCAGAAACACTAAAATAGTTTTTCAAAACTGAGTTTTAAAAAATAACCTAAGGCATACTAGACAGAGCTATTAGACAGATGTAATAAAAATTAGCGACAGCTTCACTTCCAAGTCACTGGAAATGTAAAATTTGTCCCACTTCCTACTTACGAGGGAAGACCATTTTCTCCACCAGTACAGAAAAGGCACAGGGTAAAGTACTGCCAGTCGAGCAGCATTATGAARTAAAATGTTTGTACAATTGAGGAAAAAGCCTTAATCAGATAATCAAGGAATCCAGAGAACACACTTACCATATGCTGTCACTGTCCCAACATAAGGCCCATCAACCACATTTTTATTTTCTTCAGCTAATGCYTTGATGTATCTTTTGCTGAGTTCCAAAATTTGCTCACGCAGGACTGAACTGCTTTCGTGTTGTGTTTGCTGCTGAATGGTAAAATGCAGAAGCATCATTCCCCAAATAAAACCAAAAGTCACCAGAAAAAAGCCAAGTTTCTGGGAGGACAGCTTCCATGGAGAGAATGCCATGATTCCCAACAGCTTCACACAGTTACTACARAGGTTCCTAAAGCATGAAGCCAARCAGCAAGTTCATGGTCCATGTATATAAATATCACAGAGCAGGACTCAGTCTTATTCCAACTCCTTTGTCAACACATATCCAYRTTTCAGTTCCATCCTGTTGGGAGAGGAAAGAGAAAAAGCACAGTTAGCACACCTGACGTTTTTACTAGCCACATCAGGTCTCCCCTTTAACYGGTACAAACCAGGAGCAGACAATATGTTTGCTTTGTAAATGTTTAATTTGCATGTCTCCTCATTGTACTGTAGTAGCCAGAGAAAAAGAAGCTGAGAAAAGCACTGGAAAGACAACAAAGCAGGAGCGATGTGCCCGAGCAGGTGGAGAACACCTCCCAGGATCTGGATCAAATTCCCTGCCTGAAGTGGTTTCTAAGCTGTGTTTCAAAGTAAGGCTGCTGTTACATATTTATTTTTGTGTGTGTACGTAAAACTTTGCGATGTTGCCAGTGCAGCAATTTAAGACAATTCTCAATGTAATTCAGTTCTCAGAAAACAAGTAATTTTAGCTGGCAGTGACACTGCTCGGAGCTCCTGGCAAGAGCTACAGCATATGGCTAGATAGGTGATCAGGAAATCAGAYTCCCTCAGGGGTAAAGAGGAAAAAAGAAATCTACATTATTTAAGCCAATACACTCTCCTGGCTTCCTCTGCAAGCAGTCGGGAGGCTGGAATGATCTGCTGCTCCTGTGTGGCCTCTGCCGTGCATAGTTACTCCTTATTCATAAAACATACTCCAACGAGTTYGCTCTTTGCAACTAAATTGAAAACACAAACTTCTGGATGCTACAACATGTCTTTTGTACAGAAACTAATATTCTCAGAGCTTTCCCTACACAKGGGAAAAAGAACTGTAATAAAGGCCTTCAAGACACAGTAGGACCAACTGTTCAAGGTAAACTCAATTATAAAACCTGCCCTAAACAATCCAAAGGCAAGAAATGGTCTGTGGTGAGAGTTAGAGGCAGGGTCCTGAGCTGAAAGTTCAACTACAAGAGAGGTAATTAAAAGGTAATTAAGTGCAACCTATCATGTTAGAACACAGATTTGGTAAAATGTTATCCTTTTAACTTCATAATGCTCCCAGACAGGATTAGAGAACATAATGTTCCCCTCCATTCTGCGCTCGCACMGATAATGCAGATGTTGCTGTGTTTTAATAGGATAATTACTCAGATGCCTGCTAGCAGTGCTCCCTGCTTGCTAAAATCCCCTGTAGATCTTCCAGTTGGACCAGGAGTTCTGCAGCAGGACAGAAACACCTTTGGAGCACTCATCTTCCAAAAGGTCTTGAGTGTACACAATTCACATCATTGATCCAGATTTGTTGCAGAATTGAAGCTGCATTGTTTAAACCAAAAGCAGGCAAGGCAGACACCGTCCYGTGCACTCACAATCTGCAGCCATCTTGTGCTTAAGGCAGAATGGTACAGAGAAATTAATTGCGAGCACAGTGAAAAACATTATAAAGCCCTCAAGCTGACTTTTTTTTCGTACTGAAAGTACCTCAATTAAGAAAATTAAAAGTCTCCACAGAAAAAAAAGAAGGACTCTGTTTAATGCTGCTTTCCATAAACTTCAGATAATTTTCCAAGAAATGGCAGGRAGAAGTTTTACTTCTTTCTGCTTATTTAACTACAGCCTTGGGATATTTTTTGKCTGACAGAGCAGTAGGATATTGTTATTTCATTAAAAACTGGAAGTTTTACTATTCTTTTGCAATATTGGGTGCAATAAAATATAGTGATTTCCATACTTTAAAATAACATCACAACTTTAAAAAGGAAACTAAAATATTMAAGATAAACTCCCTCAGTAACTTAATTTCATGTAAGCATTGACAGCATCCTCTACAGCAGTAAGATCTGTGGTTAAACAGTCAGTATTTCTTCCCCAATTATCACTTGTTTGTGAAGCAGACAACACTGAAAAAGAAAGTAAACCTATCACCACCATATTTTAACAGACAAGTGCTAAGGATTGTTTATGACTAGTTGTTTAGGGGAAAAAAAATCTCTGAACATAATTGACATTAAAAACAGCAATTAAAAATCCAAGTGTTTCACAGTTTTATTTTTAAAGTTCTAGAACAGAAAAGAAGATGATATAAGAAACAGCATAATGGAAYTGAACTATGAAAATTATGTACTTAAATACAGTTGTTGACTTCTCTGTCCTACTTATCAACAGAAAAATAAATCTTAAATCCACTCAAAAACTGTAAGAAGGTAGACAGCAAATATTAAACTTCTGTCTTAAGAAAGGACTAAAATTCATAGACAGATGGAAGAACAGCCCCTGCTACTTCAACAAACAAAAAAAAACCCAAAACCCCAAACATCACCAACCAGCCCTATTTTCCACAAGCAATTCCAGCAGTCTGCAACTTGATGAGTGCCCAACAACATGTACTTAACTAATTAACTTTACAGCACCGCTGGTGGCTGTGGAGGTTTATAAAGTGCACAGCAGAATCCCTGTACTTCCCATGGCACTTCCATGGCCACCTGCACTGGCTTTGGGATATTTTTAATCCCAGACTTGACAGCTGTCAAGGACAGCAACACAACGATTCCCCAGTTAATGATTRCCACATACCGATAATGAGTCATTATTTGGTACCTAAGTGGACAGTGGACAGAAGACATCAAGGGGTGATGTGGGATGCATGAAGACAGCAGCWCAGAAATGTCTCTGTGTGTTTCTGCTTTGACAGGAAATTAATAACTGAACTGAGCAAGAGCTGAAGCAATAAACCCACATTTGTCTGCTATAATCACTGATGGATTCTGACTGTCAAGTTATCTCTCTGCCCATACCAAGTAGGACATTCCAAAACTTCAGGGGGTGAGTTGTACTTCCCTCATTCTCCTGCACACTCTTTAAATGTTCCCAAAGGAGACAATCCTGTTAATTACTAATGCCCTTTCCTAGTCTGGTGTCCAAATGCACATATCTACAGAGGATATGAAAACCTTATTTGTTTGTGTCTCTAAGGAGTGAGAGGGGCTTTTTTTTGCACCCCGCCCCCCCTTCTTTTTCAAGTTTTGGAAAGATGTGGTCCCACTCTCAGACATCTTTTGAAATAATTCCAGCACCCTCTGGACACTGGTTGTTGTTATAGTTGTGAGTTTTTTGTGAAACTGTTAGGAAAAAAATTACTCTTGACTTAGTCAGAGCAGCTTATGTACAAAAACTAAACACCAAGTGTGCAAACCAGCAAAATCCCACCACAATGGAACCAACATACTGCGGGGGGGGGGGGGGGGAAAGCAGGATGCTGCTTGCATTTTTAAGGGTTGTTTTTAAGCAGACTAGTTACATCTTCTGTGAAAAACATACCACAATTTAAAACACAACTGCCTCTACTCTGAACACAAATGATTCCTATATTTCTTTGGAAAAGGGCTAACCTTACATCCGTTTACACAGGCATAAGAGCTTTAAAATACTGAAGTACTATAATAAAGCTTCATTAGAAACACATTTTTTTCTGTTYTGTATTTAATAAACCCCTGTTCAACAGCTGGTCAGATCACCAGTTGGAGAGGATAACATCACCATGCTGATGTCACCACTACTAAAGAAACCTCACATTATTAAAATCATCTCAGATAAGTATTCCAATGTTAAAGTGATCCATACATAGGGGTGCAAACCACCCATTTCTCAGCATTACTTCTTTTTATTTTAATGCTTAAAGTAGAGTACAAACAGTTCATCTTTATGTGACCAGATTTTGGTGACACATATCTATGTATTCGTCTTCACTTTTTAAGAAGGAGAATTAATCATCTACAAGAGATTAAGCAAATCTTTGTAAGTATGTAAATATACACAGCTTGATATTCTCTGTCCAATCTGTACCTATATTAGAAATGGTACTTAGGGTAAGCTTGGAACACCACTRTCCTCAGGATACTCCGGATTAAATCAGGATACTCAGGATTAAACTGTTCATCAGTTGAATGCACCGTTCATCACTAGCTACACAGTTCTAAAACCTTAATTGTTGTAGCCAAAGCAGAGGCTTTTGCACCCATTAAAACAGCAGCTTGAGTGGTATTTAATTATTAGCTTCTTACAAACTCAAACGTAAGCAACCTCACACATCATGACTCGTAAACAACCTACATGCATTTTTCTACTGAGATGCTCAGGAAAAATACTATTGCCATTGCCAGGAAAAGGTCTGCATTCCAATGCCAAATGTACAAGACTCAAATTCTGGCCTCTTATGCTTAAGAAATTATTCAGGAATAATTGTAGGAGCTAGAGCTGGGTACCAGGTGCCTCTTGTTACAGCAWACAGCTTAGATATGAGATAAGATACAGGCTGAGAGGAGAGGTCCCAAAACTGTGATGGTCAATTACTTATCACTATGAGATGCAGCCTTGAATTTTCATAGCAGTAAAGCTGAAAAGGAGGCATTAGAACTGCTAAGCAACAAGAAAAGGCACCTCTGACAGGCCCATCAGGGCCCGTGGCCRTCAGTGTTAAATCCAGGGCTCCAGCTCTGTGGTACCCTGGGCTCACAATTTATAATGAGACTTTTATAGAGTAATTGCTTTGCAATGCAGAGGTAATGACCAGGAATGAGCAAACCCCAGCCTTTAGTAACATGTCAATGTTACTAACGGTCAATGAATATCAACCTGCCCAAGTTCTGTTACAAAGTTTAAAGCTGGCTTAAAAGTGCTTTTTTTCATCAGCCTTCTAAACCTTCAGTTACAGCAATCTCTCATTCTCCTCTTACATATATCCATCCAGACATAAACAATGTGCACTCAGATGCAGCCTCATGCCACTCTGCCTGACTCTGCATTTACTGTACCACAATTGGCTCTGAAAGGTGCCCTTAAACCCCTCACATCATGATCCTAATTCAAATACTGACCTATTTTCCAGATTGTTTCCTGAAGAGGGCAAGCAGCCCTCCTGTTTGCAACTGTTTGATTCTGTAGAAGTTGTTACAGACCAGCCAAGGACAAACACCAAGATATGAACCTCCTCTGTTCTTACCAAGGGCGTGCTAACCTGAAAGCTGACGATAATTCAAGTGTGAAGCCAGYACACGAGAGCTGCAGCCAGCTAACACA